AAAGAGATTCAAAAAAGTTAGTATTAGTATTCTTGCAAAATGCCAAAGAGATTTAAAGAAGTCTATGTTAGTGTTCTTGCGAAGTGCCGAAGAAGGTCAAAGAAGTTAGCATTAGTGTTCTTGCAAACTGTAAAAAGATTCAGAGAAATCAGAATTAATATTTTTGCAAAATGCCTAAGAGATTCAAAGAAGTCAGCATTAGTGTTGCAAAGTGCTAAAGAGATTCAAAGTCAATATTAGTATTCTTACAAAATACCTAAGAGATTCAAAGAAGTTAGTATTAATGTTTTGGCAAAATGTCTAAGAGATTCAAAGAAATCAACATTAGTATTGCAAAATACTAGAAAATTCAAAAAAGTCAGTATTAGTATTCTTACAAAGTACTGAAAGGATTCAAAAAAGTTAGCAGTAGAGTTTTGTAAAATGCCGAAGAGATTCAAAGAAGTCAGCATTAGTGTTCTTGTAAAGTGCCAAAGAGATTTAAAGAAGTCAGTGTAAGTGTTCTTGCAAAAAGCCAAAGAGATTCAAAGAAGTATTCTTGTAAAGTGCCGAAGAAATTCAAAGAAGTCAGTGTAAGTGTTCTTGCAAAAAGCCAAAGAAATTCAAAGAAGTGTTTTTGTAAAAAGTCAAAGAGATTCAAAGAAGTCAGTGTAAGTATTCTTGTAAAAAGCTAAAAAGATTCAAAGAAGTCTATATTAGCATTCTTGTGAAGTGCCGAAGAAGGTCAAAGAAATTAGCATTAGTATTCTTACAAGCTGTAGAAGAGATTCAAAGTCAGAATTAGTATTCTTGCGAAGTGCTGAAGAAGGTCAAAGAAGTTAGATAAGTGTTCTTACAAGCTGTTGAAGAGATTCAAAGTTAGCATTAATGTTCTTGAAAAATGTCTAAGAGATTCAGAGAAGTTAGCATTAGTATTGCAAAATACCAGAAAAATTCAAAGAAGTTAGTATTAGTGTTTTTATAAAGTGCCGAGAGGATTCAAAGTAGTTAGCATTAGAGTTCTGTAAAGTGCTGAAAGGATTCAAAGAAATCAGCATTAGAGTTCTGTAAAGTGCCGAAGAGATTCAAAGAAGTCAGCATTAGTGTTCTTGTAAAGTGCCGAAGAAATTAAAGAAGTTAGCATTAGTGTTTTTGTAAAGTGCCAAAAAGATTCAAAGAAGTTAGCGTTAGTGTTTTTGTTAAGTGCTAGCTAAATTTTGTTATTAAAAATACGTTAGCCAATTAAATTATTATAACTACGTAATAAGCATCTCAATCAACGATATTTATGCTCTCTTTTTCTGATCTACTAATTAAATACTTGCCTAAAACACCTTTAAAAAATTTCTACTCAACTAGTCGTCAAAACTTTAACTTGGCCACATCAACTTCTTCTTTTAATGAATTTATCAATTCAAATCTTTTATTGCAACAGCAACTGAGTCAATCATTAGCGAAAGTTGCTTTACAGCAACAAGAAATAAAAAAATTTTTTTTCTTGTGAATCTTTAAATTTTATTGAATGAAAAATAGAAGTGTATTTATTTTATGTTCATATCAAGGTATCGATTGTTTATTTTAAAAGCTTCGAGAATTAAAAATAAAACAGCTATTTTTTTCATATCAGTTAAAAATTTGTTGAGAATTCATTAATATAAGGCTTAAACGACCTTATTCAGTAAATTTTGAAGAAAAAAGATAGTTTGTAGCTTGCTAATCTGTTTATCATAATGGTAGCTCACTTGGTTAATTTATTTAATTTCCGACTATTAAAAAATTTGCCTTCGATCCATTAAATAAGATGTTTGAGAACACTCTTATTCAATTTCTGACTATTAAAAATTTGCTTTTGATTTTTTTTTTTTTTTTTTTTTTGGTATTAAGGATTAAGTGAGATACTTGAGAATATCCTCATTTAATTTCTATTAAAAATTTGCTTCTGATATATTGAGGTGCTTGAGAACACCCTTATTCAATTTTCAACTATTAAAATTTGTTTCTGATTCATTAAATAAGGTGCTTGAAAATACCTATAATCAAATAAATTCTTTATAAACTAGATAATATTTAAATAATTGGAATAAAATTTTGATATATCTGTTATAAAAATTATAAAAATAGTTATTTTAACTTATATGTACAATTATACTATTATATAAAATAGAATTTAAAACAATATTGTAAAAATTTATATATAATCTATTATATACTGTAGTATATATTTAAGTATATGTATCATCATATTAAACTTGTTAAGCACAAGGCTAAGCTAAACCGTACAATCCCCACAAGTACCCTTCTTCACCCACAACTTTATAACATTCGGAACATCTGGGATATTCAACTTCAACATCATATTACCAACTTTATTAAGCAAATTAATGACCCTAATCTTTTAGGTACTTGTTCCCGAATTCATCTTCAACAACTTCAAAACAATCTTTGGTCACCTACAAACATCTTTCGAACTTTTGAGCACCGAACCATTTCTCCGGGTCTTTCAGACAGTAGAAAAATTAATTCTTCCAAATCTTTATAATAAATATTTTAATAACATGTATAATGATGCTGTGAATGTTACATAGGATATATATTACCTTCAACGCCAAAAATAATATCTTTACTTATTGGTTGCGATATCAGCTTTAATTTTTTTGTTGTTTGAGCCTCTAAATCAATATCTATATCGAATCCATTTGCTTTTAAGATGTCTATATTGTCAATGGCAACTAATTCCTCTGCAGCAGTAAGTTCCAGGGATCTTGGACTAAATGTAAAAAGATGAAGGTTGTAATCGAATAAACAAGATAATATAATAATGATACCAATGGTGATTGTGATAAAAATAATTGCACAAACCTGATTAATCTCTGAGAATCAATTTTGGTATGAAGTTGAAGTTGTTCAAAATTATATTTCTCATCTGATGCGTGTTGGTCAATTATTAACAAGTCACAACCTTCGTCTTTGTATAGTTTAGCAATAATAAACCCAAGATTAAATTGACCAACAATTTCCATCGATGCAAAATCACTTTTCTTTATAACCCTATTTAGTTCTCGTTCGGCAGCTTCATTGTCAGAAGAAATAATGCCAGCGACATCTTGCAAGCATTTTTTAAAATTTTTTTTGGGAAAGTTGTTCGATTGCTTCCTAATTTTGTTCTTATCATATTTTGAAATGTCAAAAGTGATCTTAAGTATCTGCCTGTCATTCATATCGACTAGCTCAGTGACAAACTCTGATCTGACATTGGAACCGCTCTTCTTTGTAGACAACTTTTTACTTTCAGTATTAAGACAGGTAAAAGTTGAACGGAATGGTTCAAAAGCACTGTTCATTTCATTCTTATAATATTATTCAATCGAGTTAAAGATTATGTATATCAAGTTAAATACAAGTAAAGCATAATTAACAAAAGTAATCTCACCTCGCAGAACTTTGTCTCATTGTAACTAATATTTGCTTTATTAAGTTCATTAGAACCGTTCTCTTTTGTAGACAACTTTATACTTTCAGTATTAAGACCCGTAAAAGTTGAATGGAATAGTTCAAAAGCATTGTTTATTTCATTCTTATAATATTATTCAATCGAGTTAAAGATTATGTATATCAAGTTAAATACAAAGTAAAGTATAATTAACAAAAGTAATCTCACCTCGCAGAACTTTGTCTCATTGTAACTAGCATTTACTTTATTAAGTTCATTAGGACCGTTCTCTTTTGTAGACAACTTTATACTTTCAGTATTAAGACACATAAAAGTTGAATGGGATGGTTCAAAAGTGTTGTTCATTTCATTCTTATAATATTATTCAATCGAATTAAAGATTATGTATATTAAGTTAAATACAAGCATAATTAACAAAAGTAATTTCACCTCGCAGAACTTTGTCTCATTGTAACTAACATTTGCTTTATTAAGTTCATTAGGACCGCTCACTTTTGTAGAAAACTTTATATTTTCAGTATTATGACACGTAAAAGTTGAATGGAATGGGTCAAAAGCATTGTTCACTTCATTCTTATAATATTATTCAGTCGAATTAAAGATTATGTATATCAAGTTAAATACAAGTAAAGCATAATTAATAAAAGTAATCTCACCTCGCAGAACTTTGTTGTCTCATTGTAACTAACATTTGCTTTATTAAGTTCATTAGGACCGCTCTCTTTTGTAGAAAACTTTATATTTTCAGTATTATGACACGTAAAAGTTGAATGGGATGGTTCAAAAACGTTGTTCATTTCATTCTTATATTCAACCGAATTCAAGATTATGTATATCAAGTTAAATACATAATATTACGAGTAAAACATAATTAACAAAAGTAACCTCACCTCACAGAACTTTGTTGCCTCATTGTAACTAATATTTGCTTTATTAAGTTCATTAGGACCGTTCTCTTTTGTAAACAACTTTATGCTTTCAGTATTAAGACACGTAAAAGTTGAACGGAATGGTTCAAAAACACTGTTCATTTCATTCTTATAATATTGTTCATCAAGTTCAAGATACCAAGTTAAATACATCATATTACGAGTAAAACATAATTAACAATAGTAATTTCACCTTCAACTCCTCAAGGATTTTTTTTTCATTATGAATAAAAATAGTCCTTTTGTCAGGAGTGACATTAACATCGTAATAGCCTAAATTACCAAATATACATTAAAATGGGATATCGGTGTCTCAAACCAAATAGTAATGACGTTCGTACATTTTTCAAGCCGAAAATTGACAACGCAAAATGGATATTGATTCGTGTTAAAACTTTTATATAGTTCGTTAATAGTTTTAGCAACCTATTTTTCGATATTACAGAAAAATATAAGAATAAATATATTAAATAAGTTACTAGTATTGGGGCTCATATCTATGTATAAAGAGGATAAACCTTTGGTAAAGTACAAGGTCGGCTATTAATGAAATAAAACTGTCTATCAGAATTTCCTCGGCCATAGCCCTTCATTGGCTTTGAAATGTATCCAACAATATGTATAGAATATATATCACTATATTTAAATTAGAATTGATGGACTAATTAGAACATGAGTTTTATTCGCTTTATCCAAACTTAAATTGAAAAAAGTCTAATTACCTCTCTGGCTGATTTTCAGAGTCTATTAACATTTTTTGTTTTTTCCGGTGTCACTTGAATGTTAAAATCAAATGGCACAATTTGTGTTAATGTTTTAGCACCAAATAAATTAGCAATATTATCTCGAATGTTACTATTCCCGCTAGTACTGAGGGCTACAGTTCTTGCACTAGAATAAAATACAAATAAGTCGCTTTGATACTTTAAATAGAAGGAAATGAAAATAACAGTATTTCACATACCTCCTATTAAGTTGATTTGAACAAGTGATTTTCAAATTTTTGCAAATTATGGCATAGGCTTGTAATAATGTCAAGGTTTTACCAAATTCCCGCTTTATGTTCTTTTTGAATTCTTGATGCCGAACAGGAATTGGTTCAAACAGATCTTGCAAGATCACAGTTGTGCCTCGCTTTATCACAAATATTTACATATATTTTAACCCAAAATATTGCAGCGTGTTGTAAAGAAGTCTCAGATATATCAAAATGACAATGTGCACCTCACGAGCTATAGGTGTCTTTTTAATAAGTTTTCCGAGAGAATCAAATTCCAATTTAAATCCAGCGGGGGCTTCCTCCTGTGTACAAGTTAAAATCACAACCTTTGATAGAGCACAGAGAGAACTTAAAGCCTCTCCTCTGAAACCAAAAGAATCGAGTTTAAATCAGGTCTTCAAAGCTTGAAAGCTTAGAAGTACTATGTTTAAGGGCTGAAAGCGTTGATAACCATAAGTATAAAAATTAACAAACAATTTAGTGCTACTAAAAGACCCACCGAGTTGTTCGAAACTATGTTGATTGATTCCCGTACCATCATCAATCACCTCTATCGATTGTATTCCATACTCTTTAAACCTAATCTCTATTTGACAAAAAAAAAACGCGAAATATATTCACATCTAAGGCTTGCAATAGAACGCGTTTGTTAGCTATTAATAATATGTATTCACCTATTACTTTGGCCTGGGCATCAAGACCATTTTCTACAAGCTCTTTCACGGCTGTAGCTAAATCTAAAATAACTTGACCTGAGCAAATTCTGTGTATCGAAGTTGTGTTAATGGGTTTTACTGTCGCCATTACGAAAACAACCAACTGATTATCTAATTGCTCACATGAATGATGAAAATTATCCCTTGTGTAAAATCAACCCCAGCAATTTAAAAAAAAAAATTGCACGTACAATTAATTCTCCAGAACCTGTATAAGCTTAATAATCGGATATTTAAATGTTATGAAACTAGCTCTCAGACCCGAGCGATGCTCCGGAACACAGTTTTAAATTTATTTAGTTTTTAAGTTTGTTTTTTAAAGTTTGTTTTTTTAGCTTTCAGACCCAGATGATGCTCTAGGGGTGCAGTTTTAAATTTATTTAATTTTTAAGTTTTTTTAAATTATAGTTTTTTAGCTCTTAGATCCGGGCTTGGGTTTAAATAAACCTGATATAAGTTTACTTGAACCTGGTTTGTGTTCAAATAAACCCGATATAGTTTACTTGAACCCGGCTTGGGCTTAAATATAAGTTTACTTAAACCTGGCTTAAGTTTAAATAAATTCAATTTGGGTTTACTGAACCTGGTTTTGGTTTAAATAAACCTAATTTGGG